AAATTCTTGAATGTTTTTTGGTGTTGAATCCTAAAACATGAAGTGGCATTGTTGTCAGTTGCTATGGCAACGAGTCTGCGTAGCTTAACGAATACAGATCACTTTGCTGTGGATCGTAGCACGAAATCAATACCTACATTTCTAAGTTTTACTGAGTTAACGCGGCTATTAATGACATGTAAATGATTAGTCTTTTTGCCCTCCAGCGTTGTATGCTTGCACGAAATTTCCGTAGGTCCAATAACATGGATGGTGTCTAAGTCATAAGTCAGTGCCTCACCAGCAATGAACCTCACCGCACGTCACTCATATATATATTATTATTATTTTTTACAGAATTTAAATCAGGTGAAGCTAAAACTGCAACTTGAGGAGTTTTGGGAAGAATATATTTAAAGACAAGTTATTTTTACACATATTAAATGCAAAATGTACATATTTTTTGTACATTTTCAGCTTAATTGCTACTCTGAGTATGTTGTTCTTTCAGCAATCGCCGTTCTTTTGAGTCTGTATACTTCAGGTGACAATCTATTACCAAATTAGTAGACAATTATTTAAATAATGTATTAATCGCGAGTAGGGTTAAGGTTATACAGAATAGATGACGGTGTATGAATTCTTCTTGTGCGTGTCGGGTGTGTGTCGGAGTACCTCCAGCGTGGTCAGCACTATCTTCTCCACAGAATTGAAGTAAGCCTCCCACAGGAGCTGCGTCTGCTGTCTCAGAGACAGAATCTTATCCTGGTGGATGGAGCGTACTGTCGAAGGGATCTGGGACAGTAATGGGACGGGACAAAAAAAAAAAAACAGCAATTAGATGACTGACCCACTTTAGTGAGAACATAAAACATTTATTTTATCATGCAGGCACGCTAATGTGGACTTCCTACTACAGGCGAACACAAGAAAAGGATGTTTTATAACGATGTGTGAAACAACAGAAATCCAGTCAGGAAGAACATAAAAAATAAAAAATGAGGCTGCTTAAGAAATTGGGACTCCAGCAGATAACAGGAAGGCTGCGTGTTTTGCAGGAGAGTTGTGTTTTATCTAGTTGAGCTTTCAATGGAAGGTACTCACTAGGGACAATAAAGCAATCTGTAATAACTGCAAATATAAAATGCTAAAAACATCTAAAATGTGTGACAACTTCAATGACCTGTCATCACCAGAAGGCAAAAACGAAAATGTTCAGTTTAAGAGAAATTGGACGTGGCTAAATTTAGAATGTGCAGGCCAAAGAAAAAAGAAAAAGAAAAGAAAGCTGACATCGGAAATAAGTAACACGAACCTGATTGGTGCATTTCTAACAGAAAGGAAACGAAGCAAAGCAACCAAACCCAATGTAGGTTTTAAACATTAGTTATTCACAGCGTTTCTACCTGCAACAGTAGTCTTTCATCCCCAATCACAGCTGCCGTGTTCCAGTCGATGATTTCTGAGAAGGGAAGCTCCCAGCCGTTGCTGAGCATCACTGGCACACAAGCTGCCTGCAACATCATCATGTACAAACAAAAGATGAGCAATCTCCCATCATCTACGTGTTTAGTCAAACAAACAGACCTCAGCATCTAATTTGGAGAAGCTAGCTACTCCAGAGTCTTAAATTTCTTTTATTTAGCTGGAACTTTTTAAGGATCATTACTTCACTGTATATTCAGAATCTACAGGAAAGAAGTTAGATCTGAAACATTTCTAAATCCCTGTGTAGTCACTAGAGATGTGCCGATCAGGTTTTTTCCTGCCGATACCGATCACCCATGATGGCCGATACA